GGGATGTATTGGCCTTTATTAGGAAGTCCAGTAAGAAGAGCATTACAGTGATCAACTCTGCTTGTAAGAAATGTATAAACAAGTTTCTCTGCGTCGCTCTGAACTTTAACAACATTTCTCAAATGATAAAAGCTACTTTAGTGACTGTCTACAGAGCCTTGATCATCAGAAGGGAAATGTATAACTTGGTATCATCAGCATAGCTATAAAAATTTACATTATGCTTTCTAATGACTACTTAGAGGTAGCATGTACAAAGAGAAAAGCAAACACCCTAAAACTGAACCTTGAGGGACACCACAAGAAATGCTAAATCTTGAATCTAGAGAGGGAAAATACATTTAAAAAATTTTGAAGATGGCTTGACAAAGATGAATGAATGCTGTACAAAAACTATATGTCTGATCGGTTCAAAAAGCATGCTATTATAGGTTGTGTGGCTCTGACTCGAAAGTGTTTAACTTTTCAGTGTAAAATAATAAGTATAAAAGGAAGAACAGTAAGTTAGCTTTGCCAGACCAACTTAAATAAATGAATAAGACTAGAAGGGAAAGATTGCAAACAAACTTTAAGTTGACTTGACAAAGCAGTTGCTAAGAAATCCCAGGTGGTTGCTAAGATTTTGATAGGTCATTGCTGTGGACTCCCAGGTGGGTCCTAAGGTGTTGCTAGGCTGTTGCTATGTTATCTCAGGTCATGACTAAGGTGTTGTTTGGCCATTGCTATTGTTAACCCAGGTAGTTGCCAAGGCGTTGTTAGGCTGTTGCTATGGTTTTCCAGATGGCTGTTAATTTGTATAAAATACATATGTGTGTGTTTATCTTCAGGGTTAACTCTCTCCATATATGTTATTTCACAGTTTTGATATGCTCACTATTATTCTAAAATATTAAAAAAAAGCCTTCTGTGAGTATGTTTTGATTTTTGACTGGTACTGTATGAAAACGTTTCATGTTTTAAGACTTATGTTTTTGCTCTGTATCTTGCACAAAAAGAAGCGTCAGGTTCAGCGTATTAATAGAACTGCATTACATCACATCAGCCGAGGGCCACACCTATCATACAAGAGGGGGGCAGGTGTGGGGGCTTACGTAATCTAACATGAATGGGGTGTTAAGTGTGTGAAAAGTGGCTTTCTGCCTAGCAGCAAAATGCAAAGCACCCCACCCAGAGAAGGATGGTACAGGGCAAACGTGAACTTTAAGAGAAGTGAAAGACCGGATCAGTAAACTGGGCACTTATTTTTAGAAGAAATGCATTGGGAAGTAAACACAGATAAATAAAATATAAACATTAGCAATATAGCGTTGTTACTGTTTTGCTAAAAATGTAACAGGTTGCGTTTATATTTCATTTCCAATCTGTATCAGTCTGCAGTTCTGTTTGTTATTATTTAAAAAAATGAAAAATAAATGACGACACATTAAAGAAAAGTTTTACTTCCTACAAAAAAGGCTATGAATAACAATATCAAATTCACATTATAATAAAATATCCTCTTCTACTTACAAACCAAATCTCACATATATTAAAAGTTTAGAATGTGCACTTTTAACAGAACTTCACTTCTTGCTTCAAGGAGCTACAACAATTACTATAATTATTAAATACTATAATTACTGTTATTACAGTAAAAACCCAGTATGAATGTAAGAAGCCCGTACTGCAAGAGATGATTTCACAATATGAATATGAATTGTTTCTGTCATGAAGTCAAAACAGCAATCACAAACAGCCTTTTATATACAGCCTTTTGCAACAGATATCATCCCAAAGCATCTTTCCAGCCCAACAGTGGCAAGAGAAACTCCCTAAGGGCCCAAGGAAGCCATTGAGAAGAACCACTGAGAAGAACCAAGACCAAAAGGAGAAACTCTCTAAGAGCATGAGGAAGAACCACTGAGGTGAACCAAGATTCAAAAGAAAAAAACTCCCTAAACAAGGAAGAACAACTCTTAACTTAATATGAGGATGAGGAAGAAACACTGAGGAACCAAGACTCAAAGGAAGGAACTCTTTAAGAGCAAGAGGAAGAACCACTGTGAGGAACCAAGATTTAAAAGGAGAAAGTCCTTAAGAGCAAGAGGAAGAACCACAGTGAGGAACCAAGACTCAAAAGGAGAAAGTCCTTAAGAGCAAGAGGAGGAACCACTGTGAGGAACCAAGACTCAAAAGGAGAAAGCCCTTAAGAGCAAGAGGAAGAACCACAGTGAGGAACCGAGACTCAAAAGGAGAAAGTCCTTAAGAGCAAGAGGAAGAACCACTGAGAGAAACCAAGACCCAAAAGGAGAAAGACCTTAAGAGCAAGAGGAAGAACCACTGTGAGAAACCAAGACTCAAAAGGAGGAGCTCCTTAAGAGCAAGAGGAAGAACCGTTGAGGTGAACCAAGATTCAAAAGCCAAAAAACTCCCCAAAGCGCATGAGGTAGAACCACTGAGCAGAATGAAGTTTTAAAAAGAAGAGCATGAGGAAGAACCAAGGAACCAAGACTCAAAAGAAAAAACTCCCTAAAACAATGAGGAAGAACAACTCAGAAGAACAAAGATGCAAAAACAGAAGCTTAATAAGAGGAGGAGGAAGAAACACTGAAGGACCAAGACTCAAAAGAAGGAACTCTTTAGACAGTCAAACAGCAAACAAAGCTGCGGCTTTCTTTTCTTCCCTTGACGTCTTTCTGCAAAGGTAACTTCATCTGGTCTTCATAGCCTTTTCATGTGATCACTGCTCTCCAAACACTGTGCCTCAGCAGCGGCCACTTTCTACACTGATTCAGGAACAGCATACACTGGCCAACCCACACTAGTGACCAGTATAACAGAATACAGTACTGATCTGTGTCCAGCTTGTAAGGGATACAGCTCCATTTACACACTCTTTCTTTCTCTCCATCTGTCTCTGTGCTCACAGCTCACACCTCCCTGACAGAGCTGTGTTTACTTCCATTACTCTCTCGCTCTCTCCTGAGGGCTGGACTGGCCAGGAACACGCACACATACACGTATATAAAGAAAAACAAGAAAAAAAAAATGACAGAGGAACAGAAAGAACCAGACTGGTGTTTACTGGATAATGTGATGAGAAGAGACAAACAAGATAAACAAAAAGAGAGCAAGTAAACAGAAAAAAAAGAGAAAAACTCATTTCATTTGCTGCTATCATTCATCTTTCACTTGAACCGATATTGCAGTCTAGGGCTGCACGATATGGACACACACTGCAATGTTCGATAACACAATGACGATATGACAAGCGATAAATTTTACTACAATAATCTGCCAAAACAAATAGAACAAAAATACAAATTTACAAAAGCCTGATTCACTATTGTACAAAATAAAAACAACAAAATAATAATGGAAATATCTGAAACACTTCCCAAAGCACAAAAGCTATTTGACTGCTAATAGCGGCCCCCTTGTGGAGACTTTGTAGCCTACGACAAACAGTAAGGATTCCATGAACACCTACTACTCGTGTTTTCAGCTGGCCCCCAGCTTTTGCCTTCCAAAGCATGTCACCCCAAGTGAGCTGGACCATTTGAGAGACTCTCCATACACTTCTATTAATTTCAGACTGTCTTCAGACCCAACTAAAGGCACACCTGAACCATTTTAGATCACCTTATGGTCCTCCCCTCTTCTAGAGAGACTGGATTGTCTGTTATTTTTTATCCACAGGCTTGACCAGCACTTTATGGCATCAAAATAGAGGTCTGGGGTCCTGGGGTCCAGTGTGATCTGCTTAATAATTATAGAGTAATAAGCTACAAAAGTGATGCTAACACAGATAAAAATAATGTAAGTAGCAAAGACAAACTGCTATGCCTTTTTTGTCATCATGTGATGCTCACTGATCTGTTCACATTGAGTGTCACATGGCTTTGATCAGCTTAAAAACACACAAAACATTTACTCTTATTTTGCAGCACTGAAAGGTTTATTTTTGCTGTTGGGTGCGTGTAGGTGCGATGGTTTGCGAGGACACGTCCTACGTCACTGGAGCGGATTACAGCAAACACAGGCAGGAGCTGACGAGGGCCAAAAAAACAGCCCCAAAGTAGGCGGGTGCAAGAGTGCATTGCTTGTGGTTAAAGCGGGCAGGTGTGGGCAAAAATGGTGCTAGGTTTTGGGGACCGGAGCGGACAAGAATCACACTTGATTTTGAGGGCGCAGGCAGACATGACTGGTGGTTAAATTGGGCAGGTGCGGGTATTAAATACAAGGTCCTCAATAATACAAAGAATGGAGCTGGTTTACCTATTACTACTACTACAATAATGCTGCAATACAATACAGTAATTACAATATTTACATTACTTACAATAACTATTATTTTATTTAGTTTTATCATTTTATTTATTATTTACTTAATATATTTCTTTGTTTTGTAAGGATCAGTATTACGATACATGTTTAGTTGATTCTGTTTTTACTGTGTTGTCATCTCTAATTGTACAGTATATTATACACAAACAACTAATAAGGGAGGTACTTTATTAGATACACCTACCTTGCATCTACATTTAATGCCTATTTTGTCAGCTCCACTTACCATATAGGTGCACTTTGTAGATCTGCAATTACAGACTGTAAATATTATGTAATTATGATGATGCAGATTTGTTGTAACAGTAGCCATTACGGCTTCATGCACTTCACTATACAGTCTATTGTAGGGTTGGTGATAAGCTATACTGGTATGATATCAATGCAGACGTGAATCAATATTGTGATTGCTTTGCATCGTAGAGACTGCATTCAGGTCCGAGAGTGCAATGTTTACAACATCCAAAACATGGTCAACATGTGCTCCAACAGTTACAACTTTACTATTATTTGTATTAAAGGTCACAGTTGAGAAAAAAGCGTTTTACTCTGGTCTCTTCTGGCTCCCGTCGACAGATGGACTGATGGAAAGACACTAATGCAGAAAATATATTCATCCGGCCACTAATGGTTCTAATTACGGCAACTGTAACGGCAAAGGAAAAGACTGTTACCTGTAGCGGGAGAGTAAGAAGCCTCCAGCAGAGGAGCCGCAGATGCTGAAAGCCATGGCAACCACACCATTCCACATTCCCAGCTCACGCGCAGTCATGTGATGGTCTAGAAGGAACAGCGGAAACATGGTGATGGCTCCCTGCTCACCTGAACACAAACATAAAAGAAAATCATTAAAAAAAAAACACTTTATACAGTTTTTAAATGACATTTTTATTCTGGGTTAGGAGTTTTCGTGGTGGGTGTCTGTTTTAAAGAGTTAAACGAGAACTCTTGCCTTATTAAATAGATTTATATCAAAAGGTAGTTCTCTTTTGTACACACTTCTCATGCACATGCACAAGTCAATATCTTGTAACAGCCACAAAGTGACATGACGTGGTACATGAAGTGAAACCAATAACATGCTCACATAGTAGACCTTTAGCAGTGATTGCTACAATAAAGACTATTGACATTGTCGGCTTCAGGGAAGCCTGGCCACTTTATATAATCAACATCTGAGAGCTACGTTATATGGTATTGGGACACACCTCTTAATCATTGAATTCAGGTGTTTCATTCAGTCTCACTGCCACAGATGTATAAAATCAAGCACATAGCCATGTAGTCTGCCTTTAACCACACTTTTATGAAAGAATGGGTCGTTCTAAAGAGCTCACTGAATTTGAGCATGGCACTGTAATAGGATGCCACAATTGCAATGAGTCAGTTTGCGAAATGTGTTCCCTCCTAGATAGTCCACAATCAACTGTGAGTGGTATTATTGAAAAGTGGATGCATTTAGCAACCATAGCAACTCCGCCACCAAGTAGGTTGGCTGGGTTAGGCCCCTTAGTTCCAGTGAAGGGAAATCTTAATGCTTCAGCAGACCAAGACAATTTGGACAACTGTATGCTTCCACCTTTCTGTGGGAACAGTTTGGGGAAGAACCTTTTCTGTTCCAGCATGACTGAGCCCCAGTACACAAAGCAAGGCTCATAAAGGCATGGCTGGGTGAGTCTGGTGTGGAAGAACTTGACTGGCCCACACAGAACCCTGACCTCAACCCCATCAAACACCTCTAGGATGAACTACAACAGAGATTGTGAGCCAGACATCAGTGTCTGACCTCACAAATGCTCTTCTGGATGAAAAATTCCCACAGAGACACTCCAAAATATTGTAGAAAACTTCCCAGAATAGTGGAAGCTGTTCTAGCAGCAAATGAGGGACCAACTCCGTATTAATGCCTATGGATTTAGAATGGGATGTCATAAAAGCTCCTGTAGGTGTCCCAATACTTTTGTCCATATACATTAACGATGGTAACTAATAAGGTAGAAAATCGGATCTGAGCAGAAAAGCAGAATTGAACATTGATGGCTGATGTACATTTCCATGTGATATCTACCATCATAAGATCACCAGCCTGCCAGCATGGACAATGAGCCTAACCACCCCACCCAATTGGTGATCACTAAGGGTGGCGATCCAACGATGGTATATTGCATAGCATTTCCCAAGCCTAACCCACAGCAAGCAGGAATTCTCTGCTTGCTCGAGCAAAGACTGTCAAGAGCGTCCACTGAGGTGTTACACTCCTATTGGACAGTCCTCTATATTGTCTTAAATGATCCAAGTCCTGCAAGTTGCATAATTTGTGAAATGTCCCCCCTGGACAAGACCAGGTATGCATCTACCAAGCAGTGGGCAAAAACCCAAAGCCACCTTTCTCACCAATGCCGCTAATGAGATCAAAACCCATCCTTGCTTTTTGGAGACAAAGAATTTGTCACTTTAATTCAGACAGTTGAGAGGAAAATAAAACCCCATCAGAGGAAACATCCAACCCCACTGTTCTTCAGTCGCGTGTTATGATGAGCGCGAAAGAGACCGTCGCTGCAGCTTCGGTTTAGGCCGCCGCCGTGTATTATTTAATGGCACCGGCATTATTTATGGAGCCTGGCTTCCGTGTGACTGACAGCTCTGAGACTGACTAGCGAGAAGAGCGGCGCGAAACAAAAAACAGAAAAGCAAATCAAAAAAAAAGAGAGAAAGTCGTTCGACAGACGCACGCGCCAAATTTCCCGCCAGAACGCTGACAGCGCCACGTGAGCGCTTTGACGGGTTTTTCTTTCAACGCTTTTTTTCCCTCCTCTCTCTGCGGAGTGACTGTGTGAGGTGGTGGCACTGAAACGTGTAAAAGGATCCGTCGATAAAAGCAAAAACACGAAACAAAGACGAGGGGTTTATTGTTCACATTCAGCAAATCTCTCTCTCCCTCTCTCTTTCTGTTTTCCTCCCTCATTTAGGCATGACGACTCAAGCAGTCAGTCTGTTGTGTTTTTAAAATGTCGCCTTGCCTTCGTTTTCGGGCAAGAAGCACTGCTTCACAGCAAATCGATACTGTTCACTCGGTTTTGCATACCTAAGTCAAATTCTGATGCATTTGTACTTTTCTAAGCAGTTTCAAATTTACACTTTTTTTTGGAGGTTGTAAAGATTCCTACTTTTTATAGTTGTTTATTCCTTTCTTGTGGTTCATTTCATTCTGTTCTTTGTTGTCGCTCCCATCTCTCAATCGAAATGCCTTAGCATTTCATATTAGACCAAAGAGACGAGAACAGTGTTTCAAACTTCAGCACTTATGCTGATAGACGCTGGATAAACTAAGTTCCACTGTGGTTCTTTGGGGAACTCAGTGCTTGAGCGTTTTGGGCACTTTTTTAAACTCAACTTGTTTCTTCACTGCTTAATTAACCCCTTCAACTGCAAAGGCCTGTAACAGCACCCACTCTTTAATCCTTTAGAACCAGCCTCTTGCTGGCAAGACAAAATATTTTGGCATCATGATGCAGATGATAAAGACTGTATAAAAAATACAAGAATTGAACCCCTTTCTTGGGTGGGGCTTGCGAAGTGCTCTTTGTAAATATGGATAGAAACTGCCAATAGAACCTTTATATATAATCAATGTGCCATAAAAACATGCAGGAAAATGAAATGACTTGTCTTTTGGGTCAAAGGGTTTTGGCCAGTTCTTTCGATACTACAGTTTACATTTTTTTTTCTCAGTTAAGCTAAAAATTAAGCTAGTTTTTGTGTGATTTTATGGGTTAACTCACAAATATAGTGTGTAGAAATAATTATCGAATGACATTTTACTGGCTGAGACTGCACAGAACACTTTATGGTTGTCAAAAAAAAAGGCCAAAAGAAAAGAGCTTAAAGGATTACTTCCTCTTTCCCATAACAACAGAACTTACTTATGAGTTTCACAGTAGATACTGAATAATTCATGGTAGTTACTGTTTAATCCAAAGCAGCTAGCTAATGTTATAAAACACACAGTTCCACATCTGAAATCTGACAGGCTGAATGAAGCCGTTGTAATAGGGCTTGATTTACATCTAACCATGCACTTCAACTGAATGCTGTATTAATATGTCAAGTTGTTAAAAATCATTGCGTTGTTCATGGACTAAGCTTTTTGCTTACAAACCATTTATTACTATTATAATTATAACTGGAATTATTTACTAAACATTGGTGTAACATATTGTTATTTGCCATTGTTTTATAAAAGCAAGTGTAGGAGTGATTTTACCACATTAAAGGGTGTTGTTAGGCACAACATGAAGTAGCTTCTTGCAACTTATAATGAACCATGAGACAAGCCTTCAGTTTAGGGGGGAGTTCCTTTAAAGATAGACGAAGAAACATTTGCTTGTCTACAACATACTGAAGGTTCACAGCAGATCACTTGTACGATTGTTACGATAGAAATTAACCAACCAACCGTGGCCGTTGAGGCCCACTGCCCTGCACTTTTTATGCTTTCCTTGCCACAGTAATTCAATTATGGACTGTTAACGGGGGCAGCCATGTGACCCGAAGGTTGCCAGTTCAGTCCACCTGAGCCGAGGCACCTAACCCCCAACTGCTCCCCAGGCACGGTGGATAGGGCTGCCCACCACTCCAGGCAGGTGTGCTCACTGCCCTCTAGTGTGTGTGTGTTCACTAGTGTGCATGCACGTGGGTGTTTCACTGCACGGATGGGTAAAATGCAGAGGTCTAATTCCTCTGTGTGCAAGCACAGACATATGTATATACACACCTATATCTGATGTGTGTACACAGTAGTAATGTCTAACACGGCTGACTGTTGTGAACTGTGCGACCTGTAGTGTGTATCTGTATTGATCTGTACTATTAGTGTGTGATCTGTAAATCTGTAATATCAAATTTCATGACATAATATAATCCACTACTCAGAAGCTTTGTAGCTTTGTAATTTATTTTTGATTTATCATTAGAGGAGAAATACAGAAAGCCAGCCTATCTCAGACTTGGATGTTGTTCCTTTATTGTCTCTTCCTTCAAAAACAGAGTTTTCAGAAGCGATGCAGAATATCTGTTGCTGTGCCACTAAAAAAAAAAGGTCTTTTCAGACCATTTTGAGACAATATTTTAATAAAGGAAAAATAATCCGTGTATTTTAACTGCTTAAATGAAACATTATTGCCAGACTAGTACCTGCAGGTTTTTGTATCCAAACTAATCGATTAATCGTAGTCATAATGGATCAACTAATTGATTATGATAATATTCATTAGTTGCAGCCCTAATGAAGAGTATTATAATGTTATATTTTTGTCATAATGGCCTACTCCTGTCTGAGCGTGTGCTTTCCCAGGCTAGATTTGTTACAGTGCATTTCGTTTATTTCTCCCTTCAATACCCGAAATCCTGGTATTAGCTCAGCACCAACAGCGCCAGAGTTATGATTCAAAGGGGGAGACACCACTGTGTGAACTTCGGGCCGGGTTCTGCATACAGCATTTAAAACGCTCAGTCTGCTCTTGCTCTTCCTCCAGACTGCTTCTGAGTGTTTTGGTTTCTTTTTTTCTGCTATGCTTCTTCAAACTAATTATTTTTTTTTAAAGCAGGGACTGCAAACAAACAACAAGGCTGATTATTCATTTCTATAAATAATCTCCGAGCAACAATTGTCCATTTCAGCTGGGATTTCATTAGACATCCACAAACACAGAGACGGGGGTGGGGGGGTGGGTATGAGTGGGGGGGGGGTTTGGAAGGGGACGACGAAAGAGCCGAGAGAGAGAGAGAGAGGGAGACAGAGAGAGAGAAGGTAATGATAGCTA